AAACAGTATCTTTTCTAGCACTTCTCCCCTCTGGGGACCCTAAGGCAAGGCACTCCCCTGGCCCTGAGGATTAAGCCCCTCATTGTCACTGTTTGCCCCTGAAGCAGAAATAGAAGCAGGGAACCCAAGGGAAGGGGGGGGGGGGAACGACTGCTCCCTGGAGCTCAGACCCCTACACTAAGAGGGAAAAATCTTTCTCTTCTCTCCCCACACGCACAGTGCTGCTTTGGGCTCAGAGATTCCTGGAGTATCTGAGATTGTTTTCCACTTAGGAGTGAGCTGAAGTGGAACAAAGAGCCCCCAGAGTCCCAACAGCTCACGAGAGCCTCTAGGGCCCCAGTGGGAGCAGGAGAGGAAGAGCAGTAGATCCAAGCTGGGGTGGGACCAGACAGGAGGGCTAGGGCAGGAACCCAATGGGAGGGGGCCACAGGGGTCACACCCAGGTGGGGCACCAGGCATCAGGACTCTTGCCATGGCAACTGGTGGCCTCAGGGAGGGGTTCTGGACTCCAGCCCCTGGCACCTAGTCCCTCAGTTCTCCTACCATGCAGGCACCCCGCAAGCTTGCTACTCACCCTTGTCTCCTTTTACCTTTCATACATACAGGCTCCCTTCATTTTCCTCAACCCCATGGGGACACCATCTATCCCGCCCCTCCTGCACATCCCTCCCTACCCTTCAGAACCTGGGTCACAGAGAGGCTAAGCCACTTGTCTTCAGTCATCCAGCAGCCTGCCTGGCTCCTGCTCGTGTACAGTCTCCACCACCCTCCAAGGCTGCTGCCCTTCTGTTTCCTGTCCACAGGCCTGCTGCAGGTGCTCACCTGGGGCTGTCCTTGCCCCTCCCTGTGTTATAGGAGGGAGACAACTCACTCTCTCAACCACAAAGAGCCATTCTTGTTGCAGGAAACGGTGCACTTCCTGCTCTGCAGATGGTCTTGTCCCACTCCTGAGGAAAAGCCTGGAAGAAGCCATTCAGTGTGAGCATTAATGCTTCCCAAGGCTGCACAGGACAACATAACTGAAACCCCTCCCTTTCTGCTCCAGGCAATGGTAGGCCATCCCTCCATAGCACCTTTGAAGACCCAGTTCCCCTGTGGAGTTTTTAAAAGCACCTCAACTTAGGTGACCCTGTTGAAGATGGGAACTAGAATCAATAAACTGCTGAGCTCACCCCCTTTTCTATGTCTGCCTGGGAGCCCTCATCACTCTCAATGATGCCTGGAGCAAAAGCCACAGACCCCCCACCCTGCTGAGCAATACTTCAGAAAAATGCTTCCTGCCACCAGCCACCTAGCTATTGTCACTCCTGGCTGTGTTACAACTGTCCAGAACTATCTGTGTCACCATGTGGGCCGGACCTGAGGCCAAGGCCAACTCCAGAGTCAGCAGCAACATACGCCCCCATTCTGGCCACACTGGGTGCCTGACCTGCTTAGTCCTTTCCAAGGGAGTGCTGCATTCAGAAAGGCCAAAACAGCAACTGGGTGCAAGACTGTCACAAGTTAAGGCTCTACTCTGAATGTATAATGGCTCTGCATTTGTTCCAGCAGAAGGTGCTTGTTGGGTCTCCTTAGCCTTTGGCTCACAGCTGATAGCATCTCTCCACCCCAGAAGACTAGATAGATTTGAATGAGAGTGAGAGGACCCTGGGGGCAGGGGTGGGAGTTGGGACAGGGGCAGGGGGTGGGGGGGAAGACAGGTGGTCCTTTTCTCACTACCCAGCTTTCCCAGGAGCAGAGATTTCCTGCAGGGATTGGTTAGGGACACCTCTGGGTGGAAGGTCCCCTGTGGAGGTCATTGAGAGCAAGCGGAGGGAATGAGATGGCCTCATACATAAACCTCAGAGCTCACTTACCTCGCCCAGAGCCAAGCTTGCCTAGAGAATCCATATGTCAGCCCCCATGGGTTGCATATTTAATGGCTTTTCATCTGATATCATCTAAGCCTGAGGAATTCACAGCAAGCTGACTTGCTGGCCTCCAGATGAGGGGGAAGGTGGTCAGGTGTCTGCCCTCCTCGTGAGCCAGGGGCCCAGGGCTTCTTTCCTCCTGGGCCTCAACCCACAGGCTCTGGGCTGCCTCCAGGACAGTGACAGTGCCCTGGCCATGCCCACAACTAGCTTACTCAGTAGGAATGGATCATGTGCCTTGTTTTCTGGGACTTGGTCTCCAAAGCTTGTCGACACTAAGGTTTCAAGTCAATTTCAACTGATTTCCAAATTGCAAGAAGCCTTTCTTCTGGCCTCAGTAAAGAGAGGCTCCTCCTGGCTTTTTAGTCCATGCATAGCCGAGGCTGAGCCTCTGAAGCAGCCCAAAGGGGACCGCTCCAAGTCAGGCCTCAATTGCCGGGTGGTGCAGGGGTGTGGTGCAGAACCACGTCCAGCAGAGGGGTGAGGACTCAGGCCTGGGCTGAGGCAGGTGGCTGTGGAAATTTCCTTTCCTTTCCTAACCAGACAGTAAAACCTATCAGGGAGCATGCCAAGTGCAAGCGCCTCTTGAATAAGCCCCCCCCCCCTGGAGCCCCTGCCTTGTCCTGCTGTCATCCTGGGGTGGCCTGTGTCACCTTGGAAATCCCAAAAGATGCTCCCTTGGGTTGTGCCCCACCTTTGCGGACCTATGACTACCTCCTCCCAGACCCTCTCCAGAAAGTCTATGCAGGGCCCCATAAGCTGGAAGTGGGTACACTGGAGATACTTGGGACACCCAAGTCTGACGCTACTCCAGACCCCCAATTCCTGCTCCAAAAACGTTCAGGGGCATCCCCAGCTCTGAAATGTCATAATTCATTCATTGTGCTGGGCATTCAGGAAGCCCTGTCCATCTGGAAAATTGCATCCTTCGATTCTGGGACATTGTCTTGTTTTATTTCTCTCCTCTTTCTGGAACTCCTTTAATTGGTATTTGGACCTTTTGGAATGGTTCCCTTATTTTCTTAGTGTCTTTCTCCTGCTTTCTAAAGCTCCATCTCTTTCTGCCTCTGGAGAGTTTTCTCAGTTCTATCTTCCATGTCTTCTATTTATATTTTCTTCCCTCTGTCATATTGTAATTCCCAGGAGTCCTTTCTTTTTTTCCAAATGCTACTTGTTTCTTGAGTCTCTTCTTCCCTCTTGAAAGGGCATAGTTGTTTGTTTCTAGGCTTTTCCTGCTTTGTGCATTGTATGTTTTCTCATGTTTCTCTGTTTCTGTGTTTCATGGAAGAGCCTTCTCTGAAATAACTGGTGGCATCTGGTCTCTCCTCCTCTTTGAGTGACTGGAGATGGGTGGAGTCAACCAATGAATGATGTATGGTTGGCCAGGAACTGTCCAATGCCAGCATATGTAGATTCTCTAGCCTGGAAGCTCCAGGTCTGGGGGCTGCTATCTGGAGCTGTTTCAGTTCATTGGGGGATGGAAGACAAGTGCCTCTAGTGTCACCAGAGGACCAGCAACCCAACTTTATTAGTGGCTGGTAACCAGGAAAGCTAGCCACATGGTGACTTTGCAAACCCACCTGACCCCAAGTAGCTTCCTGATCATGGAGAGCAGTGGGAAAGAAATAGGAGCCCAGGGCAGACCTGCCAACACTGCCAACCTGAGCAGCTCTACTGGAGTCCATGCTTGCACACCACGATGGCAGGCGAAACCTTCCTTAATAAGGTGACCCCTCTTCTGAGGGTGTTGGGAGGCCACCTGCTGTCCTTAGAGCTGGTCCCCCAAGCAGCTTTTCCCAGGTCTCCCAGAAAGGGGCTTTGGGTAAGCTCCTGAGCTGATGTGTTTGCAGATGTTCAGTGCCCATACAAAAATCTGGCTTGCGAGCTATATACCCTTTCTGGGTCTCAGTTCCCTCATATTTAAGATGGAATATTGAACCTGGGAACCCCGGGTTCCTTCTTGTCCTAACCATTGTAATTAGGTCACCCTTGCCCAGGTCCTGCTGTCCGCTCTGGGCAGTGCCTGCTGAATAAATGCTCACCTTTCGTGGGTGGGCTAAGAGATGCTTGGAAGCTGCTCACCAGGTAACTCTGCTCTCTGACCTGAACCTTCCTAGAGTTCCTTCATCCACACAACATTGCTGTGAGGCTTAGGGTGCACATGGGGCAGCCTGGGAAGCTTAGGGCACAGAACAGAGAGGGCTGGGGCTGTAGGTTAGTGGAGAACTTGAGGGTGGACTCACCAAGGCCAGCCTGGGCTCCTTGGCAGGAGAGGCCTTCAGGGACCATCTCAAAGTGAGCTTTGGGATACCTCAGCCAGAATCCTCACTCATCCAACACTTCTCACTGCTCAAGTCCCCAGCACCCTAGTAGACTTCCTGTTGGTGTTGGTGAGGGCCCTAGGGTCACTTCTGCTACAGCTATGCTGGCAACCCAGAGGTCATGGAAGGTGTGACCTGTAATTTTTTTTTTTTTTTTTTAGGTGGCTTGCGAGCTATATACCCTTTCTGGGTCTCAGTTCCCTCATATTTAAGATGGAATATTGAACCTGGGAACCCCGGGTTCCTTCTTGTCCTAACCATTGTAATTAGGTCACCCTTGCCCAGGTCCTGCTGTCCGCTCTGGGCAGTGCCTGCTGAATAAATGCTCACCTTTCGTGGGTGGGCTAAGAGATGCTTGGAAGCTGCTCACCAGGTAACTCTGCTCTCTGACCTGAACCTTCCTAGAGTTCCTTCATCCACACAACATTGCTGTGAGGCTTAGGGTGCACATGGGGCAGCCTGGGAAGCTTAGGGCACAGAACAGAGAGGGCTGGGGCTGTAGGTTAGTGGAGAACTTGAGGGTGGACTCACCAAGGCCAGCCTGGGCTCCTTGGCAGGAGAGGCCTTCAGGGACCATCTCAAAGTGAGCTTTGGGATACCTCAGCCAGAATCCTCACTCATCCAACACTTCTCACTGCTCAAGTCCCCAGCACCCTAGTAGACTTCCTGTTGGTGTTGGTGAGGGCCCTAGGGTCACTTCTGCTACAGCTATGCTGGCAACCCAGAGGTCATGGAAGGTGTGACCTGTAATTTTTTTTTTTTTTTTTAGGATCCTGCCCTGGGAAAATGTCCTACTATAGAAAATGCATTGAAATTGTGATTGAGCAACTCAACAAATTTAAACCTGAGAAGGACAATCCTGAGCAGTTCCTGGAGGCTGTATCTACCTCCCTGCAGGTAAGGTCGGGATGATTCCTGGGAGGCCGAGTCCATGACAACTGTCATGTAGCTAGTCACTTTCCGGGAAACAGCATCCAACTAATTTCTAACAATTGCCTTTCTTCCTGGTGGAGAGAAGCCTGAGAGGAGACTCCAAGTCAGGATGGCTGACAGTGCTGTCCATGGAGACCTCTTCTGTTGTGAGGGTGATTCTGTCACCCAGAATGCACCTCAGACCAGACTAGTGCAACTAGGCATTGACCATAACTCAGGGGATACTGTGTCCACAGGGTGGTTCTGTCCTCAACGATCACGTATGAGAAGAGTCAGCCTGTATTCTCCCTGCCCTCCACCCTCTAGACTGGATCCATCTCCTCTGCTCTTGGAAACACATCCTCGGTCCTTCAGAAGCTGAGGCTGTGTGCACAGTGGCAGTGAGAGTGGCCACGGTCCCAATTCTTACCGAATGTGCGGTTAGCCAGGCCTCCAATGGAGAGACAGGGCTGGCCTGGGCAGTGAGCCCCACAGGGAGCTGGGGAGCTTCAGACACTCCTTTGTCTTCCTACCCAAACCTGGAAGAAATAACAGAGCCACCTTCGAGGCTAGCCATCCAGCTCCTCAGCTCTTGTCCCCGTCTTTGGTAGTCCCTGCTGTTTTCTTCCCCATTTCAAATTAAGAAGCTGGTAGTCTACTAGGCTGAAGACCCAGAATCTCTCAGGTCTGTCCTCACTCTAGCATCATCTATAGCCTCAGCATCTATAGCCAACGCAAATGAGGACTTCCCTGTATCTCATCACTGCACTCTCTTCTACCCCTAAAGCTCCAACTTTTGCATCTATCTAGTCTGAAAATGGCAGATACCCAGGGGAAGCAAGCTTGGGTTACAGGGGTCCCATCTTCTGGACTTTGGCTCTAGACTCTGTTGGATGGGACCTCCAGAGGAGGCCAGGTCCTCCAGGTGATATGCTGAAGGACTGTCACATAGGCCATTGCCAGCATATCATGGGGGTGGGGAAGAAGCACTGCTCCCTAGAAGGAGGGGCAGTTATAGCAAATGCCGTAATGAGGGCATGTTTGCCTTTCAATTGCTCACTGCAGCCTTTCTGCGACTGTTCCTGCTCTTGTTTAACTGGGCCTGTGTGAACACCTTTACAGCCTTAGCCCCCGGGAGGCTGCCCTGGCCAAGTCCCACTCCCCAGCCCATATGACCTGCTCAGGTATCACCTGTGCTGGACCCCTGGCCACACTTTCCTTCTTCATTAGCTGCAACTCGCTCTCCCCATCACCACCCCCCGTGTGGCAGTAGCCAGAAAGCCCAGAAAGGGGATAGTGTAGGCAGGGCACTGTCATGTGGGCAAAGGTCTGTCCACATCTCCACACATGCTAGGTCATCTGGCCTGCTGACGGCTCTCAGCTTCTCCTTCCAGCTCTGACCTCTCTCCTGAGCCCCAGACTCACACATCCAAAGGCAACTCAGCTTCTCACCTGGATGTCCAATGGACACCTCCAATGCAGCTCATACAGACATGAGTAAGTCCATCTGACCACCACCCTCCCCCAGCCTCCCCCGACCCAGATCAGCCATTGGCAACTCCACCTCCCCTTGCTCAGGCGGGAAACCTGAAGCCCCCGCCCCCCCAAGGGCTCCATTCCTCTCACCCACATCTGTTCTACCCTTAATTCACCCCCGCTGTGGCGCTAGTGCAGCCCCTGTCTACACTCACAGCAGACACTTTCAACTGGTGTGCGTTTGAGGCTGCCCATCTATAGTCTGTTCCCACTACGACTAGATAGGATACACTGGAACATGACCTAGATGGTGCCTGGACTGCTCAGAACCTCCTGTGGCTCCCATCTCACCCAGAGCCCCCGTCTGACCTGCGCACGTCCACCCTACTGTGGCCACGTTGGCCTCCTTGTGTTTCTGGAACATCCTGAGTGTTCCCTGCCTGCACTTATCATTCCCCCATTCACTCCCCATGTAGCACTTTGGCAAGGGAAGGTCACCCTTCTTCAAACAAAAAATGGTAAAATTAATGTCTTTATTTCCTAACATTAGCCATAATAACAGCCAGTTCACAGAAAAAACAAGTCGTTACAGTGAACAGTTTGGGATTTTGCTGTTGTTGTTGTTACACAACCGGTGGGCTACTAATGACAAATGAGTCCTAGCTGTTACCTGATGAGTCACAACGCAATGACCACATGTGTGCTTCCGTGGGTGGCCCAGCAAACTGGCAGCAATGGGTAGAACCAGCACATCCAACAAAGGGCGGACCTGGCTCTTTTGAGACTGGTGCTGGTGCCCACTTCGGGTGGAGAGGCTCCTTTTTCAGACACTGGTCCTTTCAGATCCTTTCAAAAGTCCTTCTTAAGTTGAAGCAGCATGGTATGCTAGACACTGACCTAGTTTGGACAGCTCGCTTTTATCCCCCGTTGTCAGAAAATCACTATAATACACTAATTTTTTTTTTGAGAGGTTTTTGCTATAGGGCACGTACACTCGCCAGAAAGACAGAGAGAGAGAAAGTGAGGAATCACCCCCCAGGGGGGAATGGCCACGCCGCAATCCCTTCTCCTCCATTCTCCTCTCGGGATCTTGGGCACGCACGCACACGTGCCCGGCGTGAGTTTAAGCCACCGGGTCCAGGACTCGAACAGCAGTCGACTACACGGGAGTCCAGTGACATAGCCATTATGCTAACCGCTGGTCCCTATAATATACTGATTTTGTTAGACCAAGGCTTAAGATTGTCAACCGCCAGAAAAACTGCACAACACATAAACCAACTGGCAGAGTCTGGACAGCAGGCTGCAGTGAAGGGTAGTGTCGTGGGTTAAATTGTGTCCCCAATACATGCTGAAGTCCTTGGGCCAGCAGGTGGCATGAAGGTTAAGGTGGCTGGGGTCCCACATAGCCAACTGCGTGATTTGAGTCCCAGACCCTGTGGCCTAAAAAACATACCAGGTGCGTGTGCATGTATGCCCAAAATCATGAGAGGAGAATGGAGAAGAAAGGATTGTGGCAAGTCATCTCCCACTGAGGGTGATCTCTCACTTTCTCTCTCTCTCTCTCTCGTATACACCTTCTAGTGCTTAAAAAAATAATTTAGTTTAAATATATATGCGTGCTCCCAAACAAAAGATGGAGGAGAAGGGATTGCTGTTTGGCCATACCCCCAGGGAGGCGATTTCTCACTATCCCACTCTCTATCTCTCTCCAATGAGCATATGTGCCCGATAGAAAAAACTTAAAAAAAAAAAAAAGAGGAAAATGCGGAAAGAGAAACAGAGAGAGGAGAGAGGGACAGAAAGTTGAGAGAGCAGCCTAGAACACATTCTCCCTACAGTGCCTAGAAGAAGCCAACGCTTCGCTTTCAGTCTTCTGATCTCTAGAGCCTGTGATGAAGATGTGTTTCTATTGTTTTTGGCAGCCCTTTCGTGGTAATTTGTTAGAGTGTCCCCAGGAAACTAATCCAGACAGGGGCCTCCTGAGGCGAAGGGAAGAGAGAGCCAGGTTGGAACTAGGGGGCTCCCAGGACTACCCAGAGTTACTGCTGAAGTGCTCAGTCCTGGGGACCTGGTGGAGAGGTGGGCAATCTGTGACTAGAAAGGTGAGCGACTGCCTCAGTAGGGCGGAATGCATCCCACTGGGAAAGGGACTGGGGAAGGCCAGGGATTGGTGGGTTTGTGATAGCTCTTCCTCTCCATATTTAAATCCAGGACCTTTGCTGTGTATATGTGCGCACACACACACACACACACACACACACACTCACACAGCAGCCTCCTGGGCCTCTGATGGAACTTTCTGAGTAGCATGCTTCACAGAGAGATGTGCCACTGGGAAAAGATTTGGTCTATAAGAGAGTTCAATCTTCAAACACTTTATGGAAAATATGTATTATGAAATAACTGCATAGATTTTGAATTTTTTTACAACAAAATAGACTTGTACTTTAATTTCATTTTCCAGCGAACCTTTTGAAGTCCCTTTTTTCTTTTGTAGAGAGAGATTTTTGCTCTAGGGCTCATGTACACTCCCGCCTGGGGGGATGGCCATGCCACAACCCTTCTCCTCCATTCTCCTCTTGGGATCTTGGGCACACATGCACATGTGCCTGGCGTGAGTTTTAAGCTGTTGAGTCCAGGACTCAAACTACGGTTGGCTAAGTGGGTGTCCACCGACATAACGATTTGCCATCTGCTGGTCCCTGTAGTCCACTTTTTGAAGTCAGAAAGGGACCCATTTACCCTTGAGAGACACTTCTCCATTGTTGCCATCATGCACATTGGGCGCTGAACTTAGGGAGCCAGGGCCTCCCCAGCATCGGTCTCCATCATGGGTTTGGGCCAGCGTCATTTTAGAAAACAGAAGTGGCCTGACACAGAGAATGGCATGGAAGCGTGGGTAGGAACAAGCAGACAGCATGTAGCCTGGAGCTGGGAGAGACTGACTCCCCTAGCAGAGAGTCTGCTTCACACCATGGCGGGCAGGAGGGGCAGAGGATGAGGGAAGCAACAGCAAAGAGCCTGGGTGGGGTGAGCCAGAAAGCCTTGGCCAGCTCCTCAGGGAGGAATGAAAGTGAGGGAGAGTGGCATGGAGAATAAGGCACTGGAGACCATGTAGGCAAATGCCTGGTTCAAGTCCCAGACCAGGCATTTTAAAACTCATACCAAGCACGTGTGTGCACATGCCCGAAAATCCTGAGAAGAATGGAGGAGAAGGAACTGTGTCATGGCCATCCCCCCCAAGCAGTGATTTCTCACATTCTCTGTCTCTCCCTCTCTCTTTCTCCAGTGAGCACATGCATCCTATAGCAAAACAAAACAAAATTTTTTTTCATTTTATTATTTTTTATTTTTTTATTTCAATTTATTTATTTGCATTCATTCACTGTACATCATTACAGCATACAAAATGAGATTTTCCATCCAGAGTACACTGTATATTGTCTCAATCAAGCACATCAACAAACATGTTATTGTCAGCAAATAATTTTCCATTTCTTGTTTTC